TTGGGGCTTCTAAAAAGGACCAGAGGGTTGTTCTGCTCACAATCAGTCTGCCGTCAACGTTCAAAGCGGAAGGATCGAGATATCATCGAGAGCATCGTCAGAAATGAGGTATTATCACGTTAGTTGATTTTTAAAATAGAAATTCTTTAAATTTTACCCTTTTAATAATAGTTAAATTGTAAATTAGAGTATAATTGCATGTAGTAGGTAGTTTGAAATTGATACTTGTAATAAATTTCTAATTGCTTTAACATTACTAATCAAGTAAGTAGTAAAATCAAGTTTCTACTTCATTGTCAAGTACTTTGACTGTCGGATAATTAATGTTTCTTGTTAAATAACAATTTAGATAGTTGTATATAACTATTGGAAGTCTTAAACAAAAATACTGTTGGCTTTAACTTAAGAAAACAGCTTAATATATTAATTTTGCATTGAATTAACCCGCAGATTCAGCAGATTAGTCAGAAATTGTTTATAAATATTACTAAAAATTAGAAAAATTACTGTTCTTGGCCTGTGAATTACTGATGGAGCTTCAGAAACACCCGAGAAATCAAGGAAAGGACCCGAACATCAGGAAAAGTGAAGAAATGCAATTATTTGTCAATAAATCAATTATTTATTGTAATATATGTGTCAAAAATGTATTTTACAAAAGGTTACAATATACCAGTACTGCTTTACAGAATTTTACAGTCTAATTATCTCTCCCTTACACAGCATGTCCATTTCCTTAGGAGAAACCTCATTGTTTAAACAATATATCATTGCATAATTAAATGAACAGCACAAAATGTATTTTACAAAGGGTTACAATATCCCAGTATTGTTATACAGCGTTATACAGTCTATTTCTCCCCTACAAACCACTTTGTTCACCTTAAATTGCAAATAACTCATTGTTTAAACAATATTTCATTGCAAAATTATGTAAACAAAGTCCGGGAAACCGCCAGAAAGGCGTACCTACAAAAAAAATCGAAAAAATCCCGAAATTCTAGCGGAAACTACGAAAATTGTGAAAATGTATCGAAATTCGGTGTGAGAATACTCGTTCGGTGCTAAAGTCCTCGAGAATTCCTGGAAATGACGTCATTTCTCGGAAATGACGAAATTTCCAAGAATCGAGGCGATTCCAAGAATTGACCAATGGGCCTTCGAAACTTTCGGTTCACGAGAATTCCTGGAATTTTCGTCATTTCTCGGAAATGACCAAATTTCCGAGAATCGACTCGATTCCAAGAACTGACCTCCTGTCGTATCATGTTCGCCTAATGAAATGCCAGATTTTGGCCACAGTGTCTTCGTAAATTTCAGTTCTCGAGAATTCCTGGAATTTACGTCATTTCTCAGAAATGACGAAATTTCCGAGAATCGAGCCGATTCCAGGGA